CCCGGCCCCTGCCATCGGGGTTGGGTTTTCGTCGCTTGGCAACGACGTTGTAAAGCCACCCCACACGGTGTTTGCTATCGGGGTTGGGTTTTCGTCGCTTGGCAGCGATGTTGTAATACAAGCCCATGGCTTCGTGAAATCGGCAACCAGGGTACCGCTTTTTTGTTTACCTTTGTTTTTTTTTGGTGCGGTAACCCTGAAAAGTCGTCTAGTAGATTATGTTGTATGGGGTCGAGAACCCTCACTCTTCGCAAAGGGGATAATCGCACCACGTTGTGTTAAATTCATCAAGCATCCTCGAGGCAGTTGCACAGTGCTACAGCTGTCTCAGGAAGTGGAAGCACCAGAAAATAAACCAAGTCTTTCTCAGCTGTCATCCGTACGGAAGGAGGTAAGCACAAGTTGCCGAACACCCTTAGCAGGATGCAGCGCACCCTTCATGCGACTCGCCGAATATCTCACGGCGCTTCGCGCTTGGTGATGTGAGAGCCTGGTCCGGTGAGAACCCGGCGTGCTCCGTCCCGGCTTTGTAGGGATGCGAGGTCAATGGTCTAACGACTACGGCATGCACGACTGTGAGTACCCCCGCCCCCCCTGTAACGCCTGCTGCGTATTTTCTGAAATCCCGCAACGTTTCGTTGTTGTTGTCGATCTCTGAATAGGTGGACCTGGTCGATCTCGTACCCGTGGTACCATCCTGGAAGAACCGGCCCGGTCTGCCACCGCCGCCGCCGCCGTCGAGTGGGGGGGGCGGCATGAAGCGCTTAACTGTGCAGCTGCTGCCCCACGCGGGGGGGGCTTCATGATGTCAGTAGGGCTATTGTTGTTGTAGATTGATATCATAGATACGAGGGAAGGGAAGAACGACCTGCGGGGAAATGCCTTGGTTTTAATGGGAGGACGCTCCATTGCAAAAAACAGTAATGTTGCAGACAAAAATGCCGTTCGACTGGCTTGTTCACGTTCAGCCGATTTGTCCCTTGGACTAAATGCCAAAGACGACCAGGTGGCCTGCGTTTTGGTGGGCACTGCGTACCTGTTGTTGCCTATATTGTTTGGTTGGTTGGCCTGTGTCGCCACGGCAACTCGTTTCTTCGCCATGAGACGACGGACGCTGTGTGTGTATCTCCCCATCTTTCCCTCTGGTGTTCTGCTCGACAACGTGTTTTTTTTTCATTTTCCAGCTTGATTCCAGGATTTTTTTTTTTTCCGTTCCGTGCGTCCGTTCATCATTGCGGGACATGTTCCATCGTGTGCGTGATGATATCTGGGAGGTAGGTCTTTTTCCTCACGGCATGTATTGACCAGCTACACCACTGCTGTAAACAACTTTCTGCGAGACTAGACCGCCGGCCTCAGCGCAGCAAGAATCTTCGCCACCTCTATATTGGCACACAAGAGTGCCAGCACGGGATCTTCGTTGCTTGCCTCCTGCAGATAAACCCAAACGCTGAGAAGGTCGTCTCACACATTCTGGTGCCAGTCTATACGCACCGACCTTTCGTTGGTGGACTGATGTTTGACATCTATCTGCTGTGTCGGTATTGTTAGCCCAACGTTGCTGCACACACACCCCGTCTTAGAGTATGTTCTAGAGGAGAGTCACACACAGGATTTTTTTTTTCTTGTTCATTTGGCCACACCTCTCCTACTTGCCTTTGGTACATCACTCAGGCAGCCGTCCCTTTTCCCTCGTGCCTCGTCGACCGTCATGCAGACTTTTCAAAAGCGAATAAAAGAAGAAGAATGGCGTTTTTTTTTTTTCCAGCAGTCAGTATGACCTAACGAATCCATCTCGATCGAAGAGTCTAAGATAGATCAGCAACGAATGAATCCTAGCGTCAGCGAAAATTCTGTTTTTCACGATTTCCCGAGCAGCACACAGCAGTGATATCTTGATGTATGTACTTTTCGTCATTTCCCAGCATACTACAAATTTCCATCGTTCTTGAAAAAAGCTCCGCAATTTCCAATTTTCATTCAGAGGTTGGGTTGTAGGTTCTTCGCGCGTTTGAAGAGAAAATAAACGTCGGAAACAAAAAAACACTTCTTTTTTTAATGAAGGGTAGACCCAGGCTGTGCGAAATAACTTGCGAAAAACTTATTTCACACAACCAGGTACAGTTGAGGTCCCTCTTTAGTGCCGGTTGAATAGTGCCGGTTGCGGGTATAGTGCCGGTGTGTTCGGCTCGCACACANGGGGGGGGGGGGGGGGGGGGGGGGGGGGGGGGGGGGGGGGGGGGGGGGGGGGGGGGGGGGGGGGGTAAGAAGTGACCATCCGCCCCCCATAAGGCCATGCTAAATCCTACTGTAAATATAACCATACCATACTACTTCTCCTATATAATAGCGGCACCGTCTGCGTGCCTCCTAGTCATGTGCGCCAAGCGCCAGCAGCGCGCCAGCACGAGCCGCTCGTGGCGTGCACGCTATGTGATGCGTTCCAGCTAGGCAAGAGAGAGAACATGACCAGCGCACCCTCAGGGGGGGGCGTAGGCCTAGCCCAGGCGCCTTTCCAGCAGCAGGATTGGCTGCAGCCACTGTGTGCAAGGAGAAGCGACAGTGAAGGTCGCGTGGAAAGGATTTGCTCCACCGCAGATCCGCAGATTCGTTCAATCATTTAGATATAGAAAGACAAACATTTGTGGCACGCAGTTCGCTGATTGGTCAACGCACCTGCGGCGGAACTTCGAAAATTCCAAAAATAAACAGGCACCGATTAGGCCCGAAGACGTACTCGCGAAGTTCTGCCGTTGGAATAGGCCTGAAGACGGCGGCCAAAAGCTCCATCGCCACACCATGCACCATCGTGCCGCTGAAGAGCATTTTTTGCCGTTTCCCGAGCGTTGGGTGTGGAAGTATTCCATTCCCTACCACGTACGGTCGCCCCGGTGGTCTAATGGTATCCTCGTACTCCGCCAGTCGCAGAGGTCGTGAAATTTCGAATCCTCCTGGGGTGAAAAATTTACGGATTGTGCGGGTGAAAGCGAAATACAGCTAAAAAGCTCTCGTGAGTACCTAACTTAAACTTCGACGTTAGCACCGTTGACGAGGGAAGGCGATGGCTGGACCCTTCTCGCGATAAAAATAAAATTCAGCACGCACCGCAGGAGGAAGGCGGGGCATGAAATAAAGAAGAAAAAAGCCCTGGTGTTTACCCCCTCCTTTCTGTGTGAGTGGCCCTGCATGGTTGTAGTTGTACGAAATAATACACTGAAGTGTAGTCTAATAGTATATACATACGCTGAAATAGTCTAGTACACATCTCACCACGAAAAACGGGGGGACTGTCGCCGCCATAATAAATAGGACGAACACACACGAAATCACTTAAACAGGACACCGGTCGCCCCGGTGGTCTAGTGGGTAGCCTCGCAGCCTGCCAAGGACCAGGTCGCGGGTTCGAGTTCCGACAGAGTGAATCTTTTCTCTCTAATGAAATCCTGGTCTCCGTTGGAAGCGACGCGCTGCAGAGCTCGCTGTTAGTAAACTTGACCGACTTCATAAGTCGCGAGGGAAGGGATTGCTGTACCCTTCTCGCGATAAGAATATCTCAGGCAGGAACCGCAGGAGGGGGTCCAACCCCCTCCTCCTATGTGACCCCGGTTGGGTCGTCCAGCTGGTAGAAGTGGAGGATAGGGGCCAGAGGGGCAGGCAGACAACAGAGTCTGATGATGGGAGAAACACAAAAAAAACAACAAAAAACACGAAAACACAACACACACACAGGAGCAGCACGGCGAGGCATTGCCCGTGAGAGAGAAGGATGGATCCCGATACTGTGAGATTCAAAGCCAGCTACGACGTAAGCGAGCAAAGAGAAATCCCACGTGATGGCAAAGCTGAAGAAGGGTCCGGGGGCCAGGACGTCTGTCGCTGGTGCACAGCGCAATACTAGTCAAAAACGTTCTCAGCCCGCACAACAGTAGACTCGGAGTCGAGCGAAGAGGGAGGGGGCAGTGAAGGAGAGGGAGGAGGAGGAGGAGGAGGAGGAAAAGGAGCCAGATGTACGCTCCCGGGGGCGTAGACTTACTCCGAATCGGTGGTATTCGGAGTTGGGGTAGTTCTGAGGAGTAGGATTAGGAGGAGCAGGACAAGCAGGAGGAAAAGGAAAACGAGCCAGATAAACGCTCGCGGGGGCGTCGACTTGCTCCAAACGGTGGGTATTCGGAGTTAAGGTAGTCGGAACGAAGCACTGCTGTGCATAGATAGTTGGAAACTTCCATGTTCCGCGGTGTCCGTCGATCATTTTGGTTCTTTGTTCACGCCCGCAGAAGCGTGATGCCTCTCCGGGTGTTGAGTACAATTAACTTTGACTAGACTATTCGAGGATAGGGTGAGGATGATGTGGAACTTTGTCGTGTACAGTTTCTCCACCAACGCGTTTCTTTCAGGTGTAGTGTCAATATAACGAGCAGCCAAACAGGTTTGATGTGAACAACACTATGCGTACCAATGTTGAGGATGCGGGCAACGAAAACAAGAGAACAAATGAGGAAATAAAAAGGGAAAAGGACACAACAGGGTATACCCTAGTCGAAAAGCGAATCAGCTGGGTACCCAGTCAGGGAGCTGAGAGGTTCATGACCTCGTGGCACAAGATGGAAGAAGAGGCCAGCCGACAACGAGCGCTCAAAGGAGACCACAAGCCAACAACCAATGGGGCGGGAGGGGGGCAGGAGACGGACGAGACGGCGAGGGAAGAAAGCAAACGAGAAGAGACGGACCGAGTGGCGCGATACGTGCCGGATTGAATTCAGCCAATTCCTACCCCCCCCGGTGTTTGCCATCGGGATTGGGTTTTCGTCGCTTGACAACGACGTTGTAAAACAAGTCAATTCACTTCGTGAACTCGGCAACCAGGTTACCGTTTGTTTTTTTTCACCTCCGGTTTTTTTTTGGCGGTAACCATAATGGTGGTCGAGTAGATCATGTTG